ATCCTGTATCGCTGGAAGCTTAAGCGGATTTATTGTGTGAATTTTCCGTTGAGATTTTACCCTTGTTACACATTCAATTTTCACACGTTTTTATATAAATTGCAAACTCATCATTGCTTGAAATATCATACAGGCGTACACCACAGTGGTTCGTTAAAAATATCTAACGTTACAGCACATAAGCTGTGTGCTTTGATCCATGATAGTAGGCCTATAGCATATATGTGTATTTTAGACATTTGTAACGAACCCCTGGCCCTGCGCTGAGTTTTGAGGTGGTGACAATAAAATTATGTTTTAACACTACACATTCCTCACATACATCGACGAATGGGATATTTATTGATCCAAAGTCGCCTGAATTAACACCAATATAGCTACTACATTTCACTAGTTGAGTCCTCGGTGCTTAATCGTTCAAAATTTCCCACCTGAGCGCCGCCATTGTGTAGGGTATACAATAACAAGGGAGTAACTAATCAACAAACCGTTCTGATCCGGACCGAGGGATATAGCATTCTTACCAAAACAAAGACAATAGCAGGAGATAAGGAGACAACAAAGCAAAGACAATAAAAGCCGATTAGGAGNATCAGTTTCATAAATCCCATATGAAATGGAAACTCATGTAAGATCCTATATATATGATTTTTATCTCAATTTACAGTCAGAATTTGGTACCTTTGGTATTACATGTGTATTTTAGACGTTTATAACGAACCCCTGTGCCTATTGGAGTAAACCAATCAATTGTAAAAAAGGATAGGCGGTTGGGTGTTGCAGTGGATAGCGCACTTGCCATTCACCAAGGCAGCGGGGTTCGATTCCCCGCTCGGTCGTGAAAGGTTGGGGTCACCTGCCTGACCGGGTACTCCGGTTTCCTCCCAAACTACGACCCCCCACGCGCTAACATCCGGGCCAACAAGAGTGATTAATATAAGTTGAAATAACTTGTTTCATAATTGTTGTTAAATAAATAAAGTTTATATTGAATTTTAAATATATAAATATTTTTTATCCTGTATCGCTGGAAGCTTAAGCGGATTTATTGTGTGAATTTTCCGTTGAGATTTTACCCTTGTTACACATTCAATTTTCACACGTTTTTATATAAATTGCAAACTCATCATTGCTTGAAATATCATACAGGCGTACACCACAGTGGTTCGTTAAAAATATCTAACGTTACAGCACATAAGCTGTGTGCTTTGATCCATGATAGTAGGCCTATAGCATATATGTGTATTTTAGACATTTGTAACGAACCCCTGGCCCTGCGCTGAGTTTTGAGGTGGTGACAATAAAATTATGTTTTAACACTACACATTCCTCACATACATCGACGAATGGGATATTTATTGATCCAAAGTCGCCTGAATTAACACCAATATAGCTACTACATTTCACTAGTTGAGTCCTCGGTGCTTAATCGTTCAAAATTTCCCACCTGAGCGCCGCCATTGTGTAGGGTATACAATAACAAGGGAGTAACTAATCAACAAACCGTTCTGATCCGGACCGAGGGATATAGCATTCTTACCAAAACAAAGACAATAGCAGGAGATAAGGAGACAACAAAGCAAAGACAATAAAAGCCGATTAGGAGACCCCAAAACAAATAGAATAGCAGGAAATGAGGATACTCAAAAACAAAGACAACAGGAAAAGGGGGACACTTAAACAAAGACAACAAAAAAGAGATGAGCAGACAGCAACAAAAAGACAAAAGCAGGAGATAGGGAGACAACAAAACAAAGACAACAGCAGGAGATAAGGAGACACCAAAACAAAGACAAGAACATTAGATCGACACAGCAACAAAAAGAAAATAGCAGGAGATAGGGAGATAACAATACAAAGACAACAGCAGGAGATTAGGAGACACCAAAACAAAGACAAGAACATTAGATCGACACAGCAACAAAAAGACAATAGCAGGAGATAGGGAGATAACAATACAAAGACAAAAAAAGGAGATGAGGAGAAAATATAGCAAAGGCTAAAACAGGAAGTAAGGAATCACCAAAACAAAGACAACAACAAGAATTGGGGAGACACCAAAACAAAGACAAGAACATTAGATCGACACAGCAACAAAAAGACAATAGCATGAGATAGGGAGATAACAATACAAAAACAACAGCAGAAGATGAGGAGACACCAAAACAAAGACAAGAACATTAGATCGACACAGCAACAAAAAGACAATAGCAGGAGATAGGGAGACAACAAAACAAAGACAAAAAAAGGAGATGAGGAGAAAATAAAACAAAGGCAAAAACAGGAAGTAAGGAATCACCAGAAACAAAATACAATACCAAGACAAACAAGAAGCCCAGAGGGCCTGTATGGCTCACCTGTTTCTGTTGTTACATGAAACTGACATACAGGTAACTTCGGACAAAATTTTGTAACTAGAACACAAGACATTTTAACATCTTTTAAGATATTGTTGTTTGAAATTTCAAATTTTAAAACTTCTAACCCATGTTGACCTTTGACTCCGGCAAGCGCTTAAAGTTGACATTTGACCTCATTACTGTAATAAAGAAAACGATTCACAGCTGGTCTACATAACATACCCATGTATCATGACTCTAGGCAAAATGCTTTTTAGGATATCGTTGTTTGAAGTTTTTAACATATTTGACCACTGTGACCTTGAAAGTAGGTCAAGATCATTTTAATGAGGAAACTTTATAGCACTCCATCCAAGATACCTACTGGCCAAATATCATGACCCTGTGCCTTATGGCCAAAGGCAAAAACAGGAAGTGAGGAATCAAAACAAAGACAACAACAAGAATGGGGAGACACCAAAGCAAAGACAACAAAAGGAGATGAGGAGACATCAAAACAAAGACAACAGGAAAAGAAGAGACATTAAAAAGTATGGTAAAGCTTTCAAAGTATAACATCGGGTACCTGTCGTGATGTCAACAGTTAAATCTAAGGAAGTATATTGTCACCCAAGTTATGGTGAGCATTCATGGTTGACACTGAAATATGTATCAGCTCGTGATAAAAACCTGCTATGTCTCACGAATTCAGTGATAAAAACCTGCTATGTCTCACAAATTCAGTGATAAAAACATGCTATGTCTCACAAATTCAGTGATACAAACCTGCTATGTCTCACGAATTCAGATTTGTATAATGTCTGAAACCTGAAATTACTAAATATCCTCACCTCCTCTTCCATCTAACCAAAGGTATTAACATCTGGAGCATTCGGAATGTACAATGTATATCGAACATATTAAAGTAATGCCATTGTTTACGAAGAGTTTTTTGTGTAATATAACATTGAATTATGGTTGGTGTCTTCTAAAATAGAATGTTTACTTGTACAATAGATGTATTGAATGTTATTGGTTGACGTTTCAGGGTGTGGCAAGCTGCATTGGAATCTGGTTTCTCGATATAAAGCTCGGATTCCGCCTAATGGATGTGTGTATTCTGGGTGGAACATTGATAGGCAAGTGTTAGTTATTCGACGAAGCTATTAACAATACAAATTAATAAAGAGTGTACTCTCTTTAGTGTGAATGTTAACCAGTTGTCAACGTTTTAACACCATGGCAAATGAGGTATTGAGGTTTTCTGTCCGCTTCAAATGTTGATATCGATATAGGATTCATTGATAAAATAAAAACTGAGTGAAGTTGGTCTTTCACATTGATTCTGAATAGCACTAAACAACATAAAAATAATCGAAATTATCGAGAAAGTAATGCTTTAGTTCTCGTTTGTTGTTGCCTAGCTACAGCATACAAATGACATTAGATGTATTTTATATATATATAAACAATGTCTCTCTTAAATAGCCTAAATTTACAATATGTACATACATGTATATACATATGTACCTGTGTTGCAAGTTCATGCTAGATAAAATATCAACCATTGACATTTTATACAAAGCCTCTGGTTGTCCACAGTAAGTCAAATTTACAATCTTCCTCTGGACGAAAAATAGTCACGTTCTTATCACCGTAGCTCAAAAATGAAGATTAATAAGTCGTTTTAACATCATTTTCGACCAATCAGTGAACACCAAAGTAAACCTACAATACGACTTCACATGAACCCAATTCTATACAGGATCTGTTTACTAATGTGATAAATATGTACATTCATTGTGTAAAATATTTTGAATATAAATCTAAATTGTTCTTGCATAGGATGCCATGACAAAAACAACATACAAGCTCTCCCAGTGACGTAATTAGCATGTCGTAGTTACCTCCCTTTTCACGTTTGGGTTCTTTTGAATACACTATTTGTGTTTAATGTTTTTAAAAGCGTGCACATATCAATGTGCTTGAATAAATAATATATTTTGTAGGTGACACATATATAATAATGTAAATATACTCTTACATTAGAATATGTCATATCGTAGCGTATTGCCCTCCCCGGTATTGTCTGTTACACAGCATCCAACATTAATCTGAAAATGTAATAATGTTAGTAAACAATGTTTTTTATTTAGATCTTCTTTCGTGTTTATTTTTACAACAAAAACCTTCTCAAACGAAAAAGTCTTTTTGAGGAATTTAGGATAAGCTTAATTCTATAATTTGTTGTGTTTTTCAATTTAATTAAGATGTATCGACATTGGCTATTAAAAATATCACAAAGCCCGCATTTTCGTATCAGATTGCGCACAAAACAGCCAGCGGGCAATAGGCAAGAAATTAAGGTACAATTTTATAGGACTTGACAGTGACTTTTCATGATGATCATATAACATGTATGCTTATATGTTTTCTTTTTCATACCATTGTATGCTATAGGAGGATTTTACAATACACATCCTCCGACCTGGCTGAGGTGGAGTAAATACATTTCAATCCTCCACTACCCTTACGCAGCAACAGTCTCCTATCTTTTTAGAGATATTGATCCGATTTGGTAAGTAAGCCTTCATACTGCCTAGATATATATTGCCGATGTCTGTAATTTAGATTAATGTGGTGGCTGATGGGTGAGATAAGCCCCCGTCTATAGAACGCTTACTTTATATAGAAAACACGAGCCTTTATAATTTCGATTATAGATGCATACATCTATATTAAGGAGAGACAATCTAATATAATGCAGCTAGACGCTTCTTTCACAAAATATTAGGGCTTGTACCCACTTTATTGATACCTCGATGTGTTTTATATTAAAACTTACACGTCCTTTTCTATCCCAATAGCCTTACAAACAAAAATCATATTTGCAATGAAATTGTGCGAAAAAGAAACATCGTACATGTAGGGAAAAAAATGCAAAAACAAATATTAGAGAATAAGGTTGCTGTGTTGATATAAAGAGGGGCATGAGATCCAAGTCCACACTAGAGTGTATCAGTTAGGATGCTAGACACACTGGAGTTTCTGTCATGTAATAGCATCTGATCTCCAACATGTTTTCAATGATAACGCTCACGTAAATAACATGATTAGGATGAAGGCCATTTTGGTCTCCGAGTTCTTTTATTACAATCTTAGTCAGTGAAATGTTTCACATACTATTTCAGGTGCAATCAGACGAGTGTGACGATGTACCCGCAATGCCGTGATAATACCACTGTTGTCCTGACGTCACGTGACATACTGGATAGTGTTGGGATAGACCTTCCCATATACTGTTATATAGGAACCATTGTTTTTGTCACGTGCTTACTACACGTGCTAGGATACTCTGTATTGAGGTGGAAACGAAAAATGTCATGAACGAATGAACAAATGTAATTATAAGCTGCGATCCACCCATGCAGCACTAAATTGATATTACAGATTTACAGGATGGGGAATCACATGGTCTTTGTTAAGAGGCGTGTCTCTCATCCTAAATGCACGTAGAATTTCATAATAATTTAATACATATTATAAAAGTATATTTTTTTAACATCTCCAGTAAGCCATTCATGGCTGGACACATTTTATGTAAAATCGTACTAATTTTTGAAATGTTTGTAATCGTGTATTATGTGTTTGTTACGAAAATCAGAGGCCGATCATAGGGCGCTGTCACCAGCGCACGTGACACCACCTGCGTTTGACTTAAATTATTTTTTGTGCACATATATCTATATACTGCATCTATCGTGTGAGTCAAAAATAGAAAGTTAGGTCAGTAAATGGACGTAAGCACATTAAAAACATGCATGTAAATAAGCATTTGATCAATGATTGGTCGCGTTTATCGTACATGTAACTTTATCATTTTAACGACAAAATTAAATACATATTGCACTTGAGTTTTCCGTTAAAATTATATGAGTTACTCTACTAGGAGATGATCATATTCTGCTCACTGACAGAACCACTTAGTCGTGTTGTCACATTTTCATTTTATATTTAGAAAGTCTATTCCGATAATTTGTTTTTGCATGATAAACTAGCAGGTAGTAACGGTAGCATATATAATGGAAACCAAACAAGGATAATATTTTTTTAAGAACATTGAAATAAATGAATTACCAAAATTTTAATGAATACATTAATTATTCATTCCACTCGGGCATTTAACTAATAAACAAGAAGAAGAAAACCAAGAAATATTTAGATAGAGACCCCTGAAAAAGTAAAGGTCCAAGACCGGTATCCAACGTAATTTATATGCAACATGACCACATTTGTCAAAACATTGAACAATTCTTCTTGCTATATTGTTTGTCATAGCCAAGTTGTTTGTGAGAACGTTCTACGTTCGACACCATTTCGGTTTTGTAAATATCACGGACCGAACTTTATTTTTGAGAAAAACGTCGGTTAGCATTGATATAAAATCATTTTTAATTGAATCCTGATGCTAGTGTTTGATATTAACATGATAAAGGTATGATGGCTGAAATATGACATTTCGTCTTTTCGCTTTGTCGCCCGCAAAATAACGCCAAGCGAAATAACGAAATAACGAAATAACGCCAAGCGAAATAACGAAATAACGAAATAAGGCCAAAGCGCCAAAGCGAAAAGACGAAATAACGCCAAAGCGTCAAAACTAAATAACGAAAAGACGAAAACCCGCCAAAGCGAAATAACGAAATAACGCCAAACAGAAGTGATAATAACGCCAAAGCGAAAAGTTTAATGGTATTGTTTCAAAGTATATCTCCCTCCTTTTGGCGTTATTTCGTTATTTAGCTTTGGCGCTTTGGCGTTGTTTCTTCTTTTCGCTTTGGCGCTTTGGCGTTTTGGCCTTATTTCGTCTTTTCGCTTTGTATAATCCTTGAGCGTATAGAGCGTAAGTGACTGTTACCCCTAGAGTATCGAAGATGATCTTTGTCTAGAACCCTGATGTTGTATTTTTCAAACCCGAGTAAAAAAATGAACACGACCTTTTACGGTATGCCGAGCGTCCGTCTGTCCATCCACACTTCGGTTTTCGTAGGAAAGCTTGCTTAGATTTCGTTAGATTTTGATGAAACTTGGTAAAATATACATCGACTCAGGTTAGGACTTTTATGAAACCTGGTAAACATGTACAATATACAAAGACAGATACCGCGCTTAAATGAGGACGTATGTAGTATATAGAATACAGAACATGATATACAATGTGCAGCAGCACCGATGCTTATGTAATGTTACTGATTAATACTTGTATCGAATCTACAAAGTACCATTTTTGTTTTCAGGGTCGAACACGAAGTATTTCCTTAACGATGAAGATGAACAATACCTACCAGGACAGGAATGATCTTCAAACGCGACACGCGACTAGATATCACAGATAATAGATTTCGGGCTTTTGAACATTATATGATTGATTGTTTAAATATTCTGTCTGCTTATTACATATGAAGTAACTAAAGAAGTTGTATCCCTTCGAGACGATGTCGTGGAGGAAATATAGCATTCCATTGATTTTTATCAAACTTCAAATATTGGTCATGCACGAGATTATCTAGAACCTGTTTGTGTTTAAAGATACTAATGTCAAGATAACATTCGTCGTTACTATTTATAGATTTTTGTATACTCTCATTCAGGATCCACTCTCTTAAAAAACGTTGTGCTGACTGTAAGACTGCAGCAAAGTCAGACCAGGATTCAACATGGTCAACAGTTGTTGTTTTCGAAACGCAAATACATAAGGGGAGGTTTTTGTATGTACAAAACCGTGAAGTGGCGTTCTTTAGTGTTTGCCGGCAATGTGACAAGAACCCTTAAGGAAGTGTAGGTTGAGAGACAGTTACAAGCTGAAGTGCTTAAAACTTCCTGTCGTCATACAAGTACTGTAATTATTGTTTCCTTTACTTCGTCTATATATATATATATATACATTTCAAAATTTAACAAGTAGTTTGTTTTCATTTTTCATGAGAGATCTGTTCCTGATGTAACGTGCATGCTTACGGAGGTTTTCTAGATTTCCAAGGTAAACGCTAGTACATTATGAGAACCTTTAACATAACAACCGCACACATGAAGTGTTCAGTGATTGACATTAGAATTGATTTCAATTTTTTTTCAACCGTAACACAAAGTAACCACTGGTACGAAAAACACAAAACGCAATTACCATTGTTATTACATAGAAATACACCGGCAGTTCAATTCCTAATCCATCTAGTACATCACGTGAGGTTAGAGTTAGGTTCCCATTATCAATGCATTGCGGGTAAATGTCAACACTGGTTTGGTTACACCTACAATTTAAACAAATAAATAAACAAAAATTGCAAGTTTAGTTCTATTTTGGGCAAATTTCAAATGAATCACTTTTCATTTTCATTACCAACAAAACTCTGGATTATAATAACATGTACTTTTCATCTCCAAAAATCTGGAGAACATTTTGCAAAAGGAGATTGATAAGTAACGAGATTGATAAGTAACAGATAAAACAAAGCTATAGAAGTGAGATAACAGTCTACCCTTTTACTTAGATCTCAATTAAAATACATTTACATACAATAACTGATTTCACTCGGTGGAATCTAATATCGAATAAACAAATATTTCATGCTTCAAAGCGATTGGTGTTAACACTTTTCAACCCTGAAAATATTAAATCCACATCAGACCGTTTGAGATTTTCAATGATGAAATAAAATTATAGAAAACGCTGTTGTTACTTCTGATGATAAAAAGAATACGGAATGTGTGATAAACACTTATTTCATATTATTAATATTCGAAGGAAGACAGTTGACAGTTTTCAAAGCAGAAATACAACATACTGGCTTAACCTACCACACAGGGTGCATGTCCGCCATTAGGTACGTCAGTGTAGCGGCCGAGGGGTAGTGGGAAAAGGCCAGATATTTTCCCCACCATAACCACTCCGGGGGATTAACAGAATATACTCCCCCTGAAAAAAAAAATGCTTCAATTTCCATACTTATCAATCTTTTAGTTTCCGATACATCTCTCAATTTCTAATGTTGAGTTTAATTTTTAATTTTCTTATCCTTTATGTTATTGTGAAGCATGAACTCATTTTTGAGCGTCATTTTAAGCAACAGAAATGTAGTTTGAGGGATTTTCTGCGAACAAACCGAAAACAGTTCTAAGCTCTGGGAATGAAATTTCTTCATCCTAGAAAGGTAATCATTGTGTCTTTTTATTCTTAAACTGGTGAAAATAAACATGTGCGGGATGATTTTCCATCTATTATATAACTATCTGCAAATCATAGTCTATATTATTAGTAGATATTGAACAAGGGACTTAAATTTTGGATTTTTTTTTTGTAATAGTGCGGTAAGGTAGTATAATATTTAAACAGTTCCCATCTAAAACTGATTTTATATTTTGCTACCTATTGGAATAATTTTCATGCAGTGCGCATACTAGTGAACGAGTCAGAATAATATTGACAGTAAGTCGACGCAGACTAATTCAGAACAATTCTACAAATAAAAGCACACTTTTGATAAATACCTAAGGAAAGACCCGCATCCAGAAACAAATGTACGATCACCATATTAAACCGGATGTCAGAACTGAATAATCCAATGACAAGGGCAACACTCTGTAACAAAAATGTCATATCGAAATCAAAACGACAGACACTCTATATCAATGAAACATGATCAGGATACTTCTAACCTAGTGATTAAAAGTAGTATTGATATACTTTGAAACAATACTTATATCAATATTTAGTTAATATAAGACGTCGAAGTCATACAACAGGTTTTATTTAACATCAGCTGCAGAAATATAAATAATGCAACAAGTCCATATGAGTGTTTTGTTTTACCGTTGGATGCATATGTTTATTTGCTGATGTTTTATGACTACCTGCATCAGTAGGTTGTAAAGTATCGCGATACTGAGATAAACGACGTAACCATCCACCCCACCCAGGCCAGCAACCCAGTAAATAATGGTAACCATCACGACTGGGTTGATCAACAACACTGGTATCTCACTGATCATCTTAGACAGGTAGTAGGCCGACAGTCTGTAGATATCCGCGGTCCTTTCCTTATACACCACGCCTCTCTCAGCATCCACTTCAACACACAGAAAATGATAAGTTTTAGTATAAAAGGGATGCAACTCTTCAATAAATACTGTTAGGATTTTATTTATACATACCATTGAATGTCCATATTGCAGTATTATAAAGATTAAACTGTGTACCCCTACCTACAACTGCTATTACTGATTTAGTGGTTATGTGATATGCATTTCTGACTTGAAGCCTTTACAAAATTGCTGTTATGTTCATCTTGTTTCATATCGGCTTCTTTGATGGCGTATTTTTTAAAATTAAAACTTATTAAAACTGCAATTCAAATGCCATAACTTTTGTATTCTCGTGTCAAGTTACTACTACTAAATGTCCGATTTAATCGTGAATTCAATGAAATTACTTGTTCAGGTACAACCACTAGTCTCGAGGGCACTACATGCCAAGTCGTATCAGCTGCGGAAATCCTCATTTCAACACAACACTTTTTGTATAATTTTAAATGCTTCTTGCTTAACATTTACATACATTTTCTGCAATAAAACTACCATGTCACATTTATCCAGGCTTTTGAATATCGATTCGCGTGCAACAGAAAACAAGATGTTACTATCCTTACTACATGTATCAAGAAATAGAAAGAACACGATCGGAAAATCCAAATCTTCCCCTTTAATATTAAGTCGCCACTGTTTGTCACGTTGGAAGCAATGGTCGGTTGTTGAAAAAGAAAATGGTGTGTCCTTGATACTAGTTCGTTAGGATATATAAGGTTGACGTGGTCAATATTTGTTTCATCCGTAAAAGTTCTACGTCGTCAATATACCTGAAAATTAATCTGAAGGACCCTAATATTATGTATCAAACAATTTCACCAGGAAATTACTAAGAGTTTTGCCAATATTCTGCTACCAAATTCAAAATGTTCATCAATCTATCAATTTCATCCTGAGTAAATTTCCTCTTGGCCCTCTTCATATTTCACAAAATTTACTCGAAAATAATGACCAACCGTATATTGATACGAAGACGCTCCTTCATTTTGAATTGACATGATTAAATTGTACATATACTACCGAAGCCATTTCATTAGTATAACGGTTACCACAATTTAAATGTTAGCTACTCGTATACTTACAGCCTCTAACTGTTGCTAAGGAGATCTCATATCCCATGAAAACAAATGTGAAGAAAACCTATGAAAGATAAACAAAAACTGTAAACAACATGTTTTTTTGTATCAAAATGAATATATATAAAGTTTGAGCGGAGTACTATGGTTCATGGTATAACATGGCTGTTGGAATCGGTATGAAATCTATTTTTGTAAAGAGAAGCAGTCTTCTAAATCATATGTGTATTGCTTTGCTTTAATGTGCATATCATTAATGAACATACATTGACGCTTTAGAAACTCCTCATTTCAAATTTAAACCCAGCTAAAGGATTACGTCACGTAACGTATCAGCCACAGTCATGTGAAGCAGTTTGTAAAGCGTCATCTTATCAAGCACAGCTTGAAGTCATAATAAAACTAAAAATTATTTTTATAATATGTTTTGTTAAATAGTTATTTTCGTTATTGCAAAGGGATGGGTCGCTGAGGGTGTTAGTTTGGGCCTGCAATGTTATGTGAACAAACCACAAACGAAAAGTGAACATACTCTGTGTTAACAACTTTTAGGATCATAACTCCTATACCGCAGAAATTCATATAATGATTACAGTAATATACTAATTGAAAACAAGGTACATATTGTAATAGCAATGTTATGATTTGAGGTAAACAGTACGTAATTTGCTTGAATTTGATAATTGATATATGCTATTATGATACAATGGTTGTTTAATGATATATCAGAACACACGAAACCAATTTAATCTTTTATGCGCATATTAACATCCGTGTGTTCACGAAACGAATTTTATATTAGCTATTGGAAAAAAAACCGTCCCCGTGTAACACCTTTAATAATAACCCGTTCCTCCAGCCAAAAGTTGGTTAAGCCTTTTTACGATTCTTACATCTCACCATTTTAAAAACCAGACAGATTGAAGCTTTAACTACTTTATTTCGTGTTAAATGTTTTACGATTGACATGAGGAGCAAGAAAAAGATCTGAAACCCAACCGTATAAAGGTGCAAGTGTGTTTTATGGTATCATGACAGCATGCATGTAAACTGTGATCACTGTCGTTGTTATTTGGAGAACATCCAGTATTACATTCGCTATTAATTAGAATTCCAAACTGATTGATGCAACTAAGAAATTAAAGAAACAGTCAAATGTAACAGTTACACATATTGAAACCAGAAAAAGGAGTGTGTACTGCAGAAAAACAACAGAAAAGGGGTGGGTACGGCAGAAAAACAACAGAAAAAGGAGTGGGTACTGCAGAAAAACAACAGGAAAAGGGGTGGGTACTGCAGAAAAACAACAGAAAAAGGAGGGGGAACTGCAGAAAAACAACAGAAAAGGGAGTGGGTACTGCAGAAAAACAACAGAAAAAGGGGTGGGTACTGCAGAAAAACAACAGAAAAAGGAGTGGGAACTGCAGAAAAACAACAGAAAAAGGAGGGGGAACTGCAGAAAAACAACAGAAAAGGGAGTGGGTACTGCAGAAAAACAACAGAAAAAGGGGGGGGTACTGCAGAAAAACAACAGAAAAAGGAGTGGGTACGGCAGAATAACAACAGAAAAAGGAGTGGGTACGGCAGAAAAACAACAGAAAAAGGAGTGGGTACGGCAGAAAAACAACAGAAAAAGGAGTGGGAACTGCAGAAAAACAAAAGAAAAGGGAGTTGGTACTGCAGAAAAACAACAGAAAAGGGAGTGGGTACTGCAGAAAAACAACAGAAAAAGGGGGGGGTACTGCAGAAAAACAACAGAAAAAGGAGTGGGTACGGCAGAATAACAACAGAAAAAGGAGTGGGTACGGCAGAAAAACAACAGAAAAAGGGGTGGGGACTGCAGAAAAACAACAGAAAAAGGAGTGGGAACTGCAGAAAAACAAAAGAAAAGGGAGTTGGTACTGCAGAAAAACAACAGAAAAAGGAGTGGGTACTGCAGAAAAAACAACAGAAAAAGGAGTGGGTACTGCAGAAAAACAACAGGAAAAGGGGTGGGTACTGCAGAAAAACAACAGAAAAAGGAGGGGGAACTGCAGAAAAACAACAGAAAAGGGAGTTGGTACTGCAGAAAAAACAACAGAAAAAGGAGTGGGTACTGCAGAAAAAACAACAGAAAAAGGAGTGGGTACTGCAGAAAAACAACAGAAAATGGGGTGGGTACTGCAGAAAAACAACAGAAAAAGGAGGGGGAACTGCAGAAAAACAACAGAAAAGGGAGTTGGTACTGCAGAAAAACAACAGAAAAGGGAGTGGGTACTGCAGAAAAACAACAGAAAAAGGAGGGGGAACTGCAGAAAAACAACAGAAAAGGGAGTTGGTACTGCAGAAAAACAACAGAAAAAGGAGTGGGTACTGCAGAAAAACAACAGAAAAAGGAGTGGGTACGGCAGAAAAACAAAACAAAAAAGGGGCACGGATTCACAGACAGTATCCACGGAAAATTCCTTAATAATTTTTATCATGCAATACATACCAAACCGAATTTGTCTCGAGCAGACGTTTCTATGTTCCCAATGCGGAAGAAAATAAGTGACACGGTGACAGCCAAAACAGCTGGAACAGCAACATCAAGCAAGGTAATGTTCCCTTTCGCTTGTTTGAAAGATCTCCAGTTTAGAACTGCTAGCTGAGTCCAGAATGACGAGGGCCATCGATGAGTTGTCTCCTCTTCATCAGCGACAATCTCCACAACAGCAGATCCAGACATGCCTGTATCTGTTACATCATTCAGGTTATACATGTATATGTTTTCTCAGCAAAATACCAAACAAAATTCCTGTTTCATTAAAGATTACTACGAAACGACCTTTAACGAGTTTAATAAATATCACCTAAAAATAATAGCTTTTGATGATAATTTTAACACAAATGTACTCTGGGTGTTGCTACTTACTATCATTACTATGAGTGTCCACGCCTTGAAGCTTTCGACATTGGGAAGGTCGACGACTGGTGTTGTATCTGTAGAGATCAACAAAAACTACATCACACACAGTTAAGTCTTTATGATAACTTCAATGTTATACGCAGTTTTCCATGTGGATAGAGTAATTGATTTGATCACTTACATGATGTACTTACCTTTTTTCTAAGCCTCCTTGTTTTATGATATTGATTGTGTCACCGTGTGACGTCACAGCATCCACTGCAATTAGAAATTATCTAAAGTAAACTACGTGTAGTTGAAAGAAAGAGACATCTTTCACGGCACAAGTTGGGAAATGTCTTGATTACTAAAGTATTGGTATCGGCCATCGAACAAAAAGATTTTGTTTTTAATTTTTTACCAAAAAAATTTATTAATTTTTAATTTTAAATTTTAATATCTTCGTTGTGAATATTGTCATTTTTTGTCAAACTATTGCATGTGAACAATAATTCGTCGAAAATTTCTGTTCGGACATTTTATAAATGTTTGATAGTTAGCATAAGTACAAATACAAATAAAACGTTTACTCAACTCAGTTTCATGATCATTGCTGTTTTGAAATATGAATGTGAACTCGTTGACATTTTTATAGCCAATTCTGCTCTATTGAAAGTAACTTATTAAGAAATACTAGACACCAGGTTCATAACATATTTCTAACACCAGAAAATCCCAAGGTGGTACCGTAAGAATAACGGGATCCATCGGACACGGTTACTTGACCGGAGTCACATAGCATGCTTAATGGCTGATATAACGCGGGGTCTCGAACAAAAATACACGGGCGATGCCCTGCACGTTTGAGCGGGAAATTTGAAACGTCCAACAGTATCTCGACCAGAACACTATTTATTTAATTAACCTATATGTATTTATTTATTATTTCTTTTATCATCTTATATAAACTACAGGTTTAATTTTATACAACTTAAAAATAATAACAATAGTATAACATCACTACCAGCATATTTAACAAGGTGAGTGTGAAAGGGAATGCAAGAATATGTCCAGATAGAGAGTAAGGATGTGATGTTAATGGTATAACATCGAAGAAGAATGAGATATACGAGTTAAGTGTGGATACTTGTTGAAAAATAAATAATATGACTTTAAAAAGGGAAAATTCTGATAATGAAAAATAAAAAAAAGGAAAGAAAAAGAAGTACAATGACGAATGGCTCGGTGGCAAACACCATATAGATCTATACGATAGAGAGCAGGGACAATAATAATAATAAATTAACAACCACATGCATACTAACTACTCACATACTAACAAAAATATATATTTAAGAATTGTAATGCCTTATTATAATAATTGTAATAATTAGACAACCAAAGTGAAGAGCCAACTCTGAGTAAAAAAAAAAAAAAAAATATTGCAATGAAACAATTAATTAATAAAATTTCTCCACATACACAGTATATCGGCTGGGGTGTATTCGTCCTCAAATGGTATTTCTAAAATTGTCAAATAGTCAAGCGCAGAACTCGCAGAGCCTAAGTAAACAACCTGTTCAGAAACGATAAAACAAGGTTTATGACAATTTACTTTAAGTGTACATACAAATTGTAATTTACAGACGTTTGTTTGTTTTTACGTATTGAAATCAATTAATTCAGGAATTTTACATCAATATCATAATTGATTAACTTTTCATTATGGAAAGTTCTTACAAAAAGAAATGCTCGCTACTTAATTGTTTTTATTGCTTAAAATCTTAACAAATAGCATAATGGTATTAAATAACAACAACGGAACAAAAACAATGTTTAAAACATTACCATTATTACATGTAGTTCAACCTAAACATTACTGTATATACCTGTCCTTCCACTAGGAGCAGTAAGGTGGAGAACATATGAAAGACTTGGCTGGAGGGCTGGTGTATCGTGGTCACTATCGTCTTGTCATACTCTGTGGCGTAGTTCTTCAGCTGTATCATCAGTTTGTGTGCAGTGCTGGAGTCTAAACCGGAAGTCGGTTCCTGTTAAAATATTTGAATCATCTACTACAGAGTGTATAACGCCTTAATAACGGAATATGATTACAATAATTGGTGAGAGCGCACAATTGTGTCATGAATACTAGTTGTAATAACTGTGTCACCGTCCATCTTCACTGCTGTCTGTTAATAAGCAAATAAAAATAAAGGTGCGCATGGCATCAATATGCAAATATTAAGATATAACAAACATAGCAAAAACATATGTTTATTTTCTTTATTTATATCTATAGCCATATTTCATAGATACGACCACAAGCATTTTCCCTATGGTGAAATAGTATTTTTCGTAGTTCCCAAAGTTTACCGTAGCTTTGGTGGATAAAATTGTCTTTTTTTTAGTGATGGCATAGTTATAATATACACACTTTAGTCGTTATTAATTTGAAAGTAACCAATATTCCTTTAATGTTTGAAATTCATACAATAAACAAGTTTTATGTGCATCCCCTTCTGTTTCAACAGTAGTTTGGATTATTTTGGTTTTTCCATATTTTGGCTTCTAGAGGGAAAACACAGCCTTATTTAATACCACATTTCATAGGTGCAATAACCTGCGAGTATCTTACATTTATCCTTTATCACGATGTAAAGTTTCCTATATGTTTACCTTCCTTTGAAATATTACCCAAACAAGACCCTTTTTATCATGTGTATAATCTATTTTGTGTTAACTCACGTCTACCAGGAGTATATCTGGGTCTCGGAGAAGTTCACACGCGATGCTAGCCCTCTTCTTCTCTCCGCCTGATAAACCACGAGTGAAAATGTCTCCAATAACTGAAATTGAAAAAACCCATACATCACATAAATATAAGAGGAAAAATAGGTCTAGTTAGATGGAAGCCAGTACCTATTCATATAACTGGGCTTACACATCACCTACGCCAAAAAAAAAAACCCAGAAAAGAACAGCGATCACAGATAACGTGTATCTGATAAAACATGTATTAACATCAGCGGATATACGTGAAAAATTATCGCGAAAAAAATACTAGAAGAAAACTAAATATTCGTCATACATGCATATATAATATCTACAAAGTGCCAGGAGAGTAAACATGTCCATATTATCAATGTCAATAATTTAATGATGACGTCATTTATGAACGACGTTTTCATTTAATAGAAGATGGTTATAAGCATACCCTGCGGGTGGCAAGGGAAAAGGGTCAATGTACCGGGCAATTTTGCAGAATTTTAATTCCAAACAATCATCTTCTTTATTTTAATTATTGCAAAAACCGTACAACGAACATGTTTGATAAAACAAACCATTATCTATCTCTATGGTTTTTAACAACAAAACCTCCAACTTTTTTCGGCATCAGTTCCGCGCTATCACAAGGAGACAAACACGAATTCGAACATATCGCAGCCTCCCAAAACACACACGCATACACTACACGCAAGCATCTTACACACAGGGGAGTCCGATCTTAAATATTTAACACCATAGCTGTTTATAGGACAATAAACAATACTAAACCAAACCAAACCTCCCACTTTTCGACGTACAGTAACCAGTAAACCATCTTGCTAGCTATTCTAGATTTAGTCTAACACATATAGAAAAGATATACCTACATCTTATCTAACAATACACATTGACTCACATTCTATAACTGCAAAGCGGTACAAAATATATTGGTAAAGAGGACGGTTTTAAAGGAGTATGATGATGATTTTCGTTCCCTTGATCATAAGGATGTTTTGATGTGAAGGTCGAAGGTCACGGTCATGAGAATATGTTAAGGTTATGATTAAGGTCGACGGGTCAAAGTTCAGGTTCAAGATCAAGATCAATGTCGTGCTCGAAGTCAGACAATCTCAGACAAGTCAAAATACGTTTAGCAAAGCTGAGACAAGTCCAAACATCTTGATGTAGAGGGTTTATTTTGTAGCAAACAACGAGTTTGTGAATATTCTTGAGTATACATTTTTGCAATTTGATTGATGTAACTCGTAAACGTTATTTTCTAAGGATGTTGTTTTTGACTTGATGCTACAGCTTTCTATTTAGTTTAGGTTATCGGGTGAATAGAAAAGTCGCCGATTATTCAATTTACCCGAGTTCCATTGTAGTTATCACCCGATAACTTAACTATAAATAGAAAGTTAATTCTTATATGTATGGTATTTTTCTTTAATATCAAATAAAACGCGTTCTTTTAACCGGAATATATCCCGCGGGAGGATTCAAGCCCCATGTGTGATACGGTTAATGCTTCGCGCCACACTTTGAAGGCCACCGTGACATGATACGACCAAATTAGGACTTATACGAACGAAATCGGCTGCATATCTTCAGAATAAACATCACATTAGTTTGTATGTTCGCTCTTAAACATGTAGTCATAACTCATTATTGATAATTCTTACTTCAAAGTTGCTCTATGCGGCTATTCTTAGCACAACTTGCAAAGTTACGTAACCCGATGCACTCGTACAATATTTCACTCGGACTCGTTAATACCATTTTATCTCAACAGTTATATTTAATACCCAAAGATGTCCCGTTTAATTCCGGAACGCTGTAATATGGCACTAACGGCTCGCAGTTTTGGAACTCTCTCGTGTTTTTGTAGACTCCACGGCAACGGTAACTAGGCATAGTGTCTACAAAATCGCAAACACACGAAGTAATTTTATAATTTTGATTTTACCTTCAATCATTACAAAATCCAGTTGGTATGCTGTGATCTAACTGTCAATATTTAGGCAGGCATATGACATGTAGATCATGTAAATTTATCGAACCCGTCCCGCTGTGATTACCATACCAGCCTTATCGAGTGCAGTTGAAAATATTACGGCAAAATTGCCGTTTATCCATTATCCAACGTTATTGTCAAAATTGAATGTACACCATGTCATCAAAGTAAACGTATGTAAATGAACACAAAAACGTAGAAAACACAAAATCCAGCAGTCCTGTCAGTCGGTGCTGTACAGAAATTATCATAGACTCGGGCGCTGTATACAACGTGACGTCATAGGAATGTATAAATTTCAACAATGTATGTACATATTTCAACAATGTATATTTTGAGTTGTACAAAACTGGAAACCCCCGGATTGTTGACATACACATATGTACACGGTGTATGTATTATTACGCACACGAGAATGAGTATTGATTATATCATAGGAACCACAGGGCCACGTTACAATCACACATATGCTATACTGATATGGGTCACAACACACATAAACATACACAAGGGAAGAAGCTTCGTCAGAGCACTACCGGTACCGCCAAATTTCGAATGAAGATTTTCAACACTGACTTTTGTTATTTTTTCCATGGATCTGCGGCGATAGCTTCGGTTTGAATTGTAATTAAGTAATCCACCATGATTAATTGTGTAATCATTCGTCTAATACATCCAATCATGCACTTTTTCGGGAAATTTGCAGTTTTACCGCCATGATTAACTTGAACCTGACCCGGAAATGACGAGGGCTTTTCGACATGTCTTTATACCCTACTGCCAAATACTACGGAAAATCCCAAGGCCCCCCGAGTAGAGTAGAGTCCCGCAGCATATATGTTTTGGCGCAACGTTAAAACATCATGTCCGGCATCGTGTCCTGGTATGTGTTTCACATTTACATAGTCCAATATTTTTGATACAGTAACTCTTAAGCGTAAAATGTGAAATGTGAAATACATACCAGGACACGATGCAGGGGGTCTGCTTCGACAACTGCTGCCATTTAGTTCGTGTATTAACAAATGTATGGCAAAGCAAGACGCACGCAGCTTATGTATACCTTTTTCAACCCCGTTAAAGAACGCTTCAGTACCCGGATCACCTAAATCATCAGACCCAGGCATATCGCTACATACACATTAATATTCAACACGTTGGTTATAAAAATTAAATCAATCGACTTACATATAATTTTGAACGACTTCAAGATTGTTTTAGGTCATTCTGTTAATTGTAATTCAGATATTTACTGATAACGTCACAACATGCAACACTCAAGGAACTCACAGGGAAATATGCTATTTCTTTGCATGATTTGAATGTCGATGCTTTTGACTATGCTACTTTGAGTATGTGATTTTGTTGTTCCCAAGTTGTCGATGTAAAGACGTGACAGTACTAGGAATTGACTTTGATTTACATGGCAGATGTTGTCGATGCAGAAAAAGACGCTTACGTTTCCAGAACAACTGGTCACATTCTCCTAGTTCTTTCCAAGGCCCTCCTTGTCAATCTTTCCATTATTCAAAGTCTGTTCTAGCAACGTTTTATCGGTTTTAAGTTTTAATTATGGTTTCTCTGAACGGTCAGTTTTTAGCTGTCTTATTTAGATTCCCACCTGTATGTAGACACTTTTGAAGTCCTAGTGATCGCACGGTACTGTGAATTCGCTCTAACTTCTTTTTTGTTGAAATGGCGTCTGATATACTTAAAACGGCTGTAAACTAAAAAAAAAAACCTGATTCATTTTCAAATACAGACAAAGGGTTTGACTTTTAATTGGAACTTATCTTCCAGACTCATCTGAAGTATCTAAAGTATATCGGACATAAACATACACATGCTCTTGCCTTTAATGAGGTTTTCATTAAAGTTTTAAAGAAGACAAGCTACATTGTTAATAAAAAAACTTACGTATAGAGTCTCCCATAGCGTTAGATTGGACAAAAACACGTCATCCTGATGAACGTAACCAAGACGACGACGCTGTGATTTCCCAAACGAATATCCATTCAGAGTTATCTCCCCTGAGGTGACGTAAATCCTTCCGGCTAAAGCATCTAGCAATGTTGTTTTCCCAGAACCTTTGATAGAAATAATAAATAATCGAAGTGCCGAGAGCACTCAGGGATGCTGTGTATGAAGGATTCAAATAATGGAATTAAGGTAGTGGTATATCAGTACAGAATGGCAGTAAATAATAAAGAACATGTTGTTGAGTAAGGGTCATAAAAGCCCATCCCTTAATCATAATTTTTAATAAAAATATATATAACAAGCAGAGTATTGCTAAAACAGTATAGGTCCCTTACTGGCTACCATTAGCGGTATAAAAATAAGTAACGTAAATATCTGTTATATAGATAATATAAATAAAATAAGTAGGATATTATTATTACAATTTGTTGATATCATGATTAATTATACAAAAACTTAAAATGAGATTGTATTATTTCCAGTGTGTAATCACGGACTTATGCAAGTCCCCAGTGTATCTCTCTCCTTCTCTCGATATTGTAACGACGGTTAATGTCTGGTTAATGTGAATAATTTGTATGTATTATACTAATCGGGCCATTATCTAGAGACTGTATTGGGAAGCTATTTACAAACTAGTTAGGCACAGCTGCTGTCGCATTCGGAAGCAATCGACCTTGTAGATTCCTGTAATATATGTGATGACCATTTTCTAAATATGTCTGACCATCGTCCGATACAGCTTCCATTTCGAATGAACTGTCATAAACGTGATTATCCATTGCTAGATTCGGCTATTAACTGGAAAAAAGTAACGGAAGAACACATAAACACATATAAACAACGATGAGATATGATATTGGAACAAATACAAGTTCCGGCTGATATCTCTGAGATTGCTAAAATAATGAATGTTGCTGCAAAGTTATCGTTTCCTACAAAACGGTACAGATATTATTTGAAACCGTATTGGAACTATAATAATGTGAAATCTCTACATACTAATATGAGATATATGCGGTCTTTATGGATCGATGAAGGTCGTCCACGTGGTGAAGGTCATGAGACCTACACAAACTATAAAACCGCGAAGAGATCATTTCGCAATGAATTAAAACTCGCTCGTGAACAGTACGAAAGGGAACAGTTCGAACAACTTGAAAAAAAATGGCAGAACTCGACACCGGAACATTTTATAAAGCTATACGTACAAAGAGGAATGTAAGTAAAAACGCTTCCTCGTATGAATTACTGGTTAATGGAAAGATTACTCGTGATTCTGATATTTTGAGAGAAGCGTGGTATGAACATTTTCGTAATTTATCAAGTCCTCTCAATGAACCACACTTTGATGACGAGTTCAAGAAACGCATTGAACGCATGGTCGACCGTATGTACGTTAATAGTTTTAACAATAATGACGGTATTTGTGACGTCCCCATTACAGTTTTGGAAGTCAAACAGGCTATTAGAGATATGAATAGTGGAAAAGCCGGTGGACACGACGGGATAGTTCTAGAACATATAAGATATGTTAGTTGTAATTTGCTTAACTCAATTGTTGCATGTTTTAATGACATAACAGAAAGGGAGTCATACCCTGAACATTTCAAATTTGGTATAGTAATTACTCTTTTTAAAGGTGGTAAGCGAGATCGATTGCTAATGGATAATTACAGGGACATAACTCTTACACCGATCCTGCAAAAGTTACTGGAAAAGGTTTTATTCTCTAGAATCTTAAAGCAGTGTAATGTCATACAGTTTCCCCATAAGCTTCAACAAGGTTTCAGGGACCACTGTGGAAGTATCACGGCAGCATTCACCGTAAAGGAATCTATTTCATATTATATAGAAAGAAAATCAAAAGTGTTCGCTGCCTTTCTTGATAATCAAAAAGCATTTAATAGTGTGTGGTTAAACGGTCTTATGTACAAATTATACAATTTAGGTTTCAATGGCAAGTTTTGGAGGCTATTATTTGATTCATTTACTAATGTGACGTCATCGGTGTTTTTTGATGGTAAACGTAGTAATACGTACCCAATAGGTCAGGGGGTAGGTCAAGGTCGAGTGTTATCCGCATGGTGTTTTCTGGTAATGATCAATGATCTTGCTGTTGAGCTAGACAATCGGAATTTCGGGTTAAAAGTTAAAGATATACACATACCCTGTGTATTGTTAGCAGATGATACGTTACTTTTATCCGCGTCGCTTTCTCTTCTTCAAAAACAGTTGGACATTGTATATTATTATTCTGCTATGTGGCGCTTTAAGTATAACTCTGTTAAAAGTTCTTTTATGATATTCGATCGCTCACGTCGATCGAAATCAGAGCAACGTAGTAAAATATCTTGTTCTCTTGGAGAAGTGGCTATTCCACGTACTACACAGAAAACTTATGCTGGGATATTCTTTACATGTAACCTAAAATCAGACAGTGGTATTACCGAGTCCTGTGTGAAAGGAAGGAAAAGTTTAAACTCTCTTATTGGTATAGGCATTCACGCTAATGGACTTAATGCTGTAACTAGTTTTAATATAGTAAAATCTGTTGTTTATCCATGTATGCTATATGGAAGCGAACTTTGGAACGTTTATACCAATAAATCTGTTGAAGAATTAGAACTCGCTCATAGATATGTCTGTAGGCGTTGTATTGGACTACCGAACACGTCATCAACTGCTGTAACTTCACAATGTTTAGGAGTTTTTAACATCTGGAGTGAGGTAGAAATTAAAAAACTGCTATTTTGGAATAAGTTGTGTTTAGGAAATGTAAAGTTTGTATGGAAGTCCTTGTTTATTATTAGATTATGTCAGTTCATGTTTGGCGAACTGTCCGCTGTACAAATAGGATTTATTCCAGATGTGTTCAACATCATGAAAAAGTTTAATATAGAATCATTTTTAATTGACTTTTTAACCAACATATTTGTACCTCCAAAATTATGCTGGAAACGCTTTATTAAAAGATTTATTACAGATTTCTATCATATACAGTGGAGAGATGCACTATCTACAAAAGCGGAATTGCGTCGTTATTCTGCCATACGCAGTTATCAGGGAATCAACCCCATATTAGAACTGAGTACCAAGCAAAAATCGCATAAATGCATGTGGCAGTTAATAGAGCTAATGAAATATTCATTTATATTTGAACGCGATATTGTATTATGTAAACTTTGTGGTAAATCTACTGCTGATATTGTTTTTCATTTTCTGCTTGAGTGTCCGAAATTGTTTGAAACGCGTGACTTAATGATGGATGGTGTGGTGAATGCTTTAGAAGTTCCCTCCTATATTTCATTTACAAATATAGAGGATGAAAACCAATGCAGTTTCTTATTAGGAGATCGTGTGAATATGCTACTAGAAGACTACGAGTGGGAAAATATGATGATCAATATGTCAATTAATCTAGAAAGAATGGTGTGTGAGATTGACACGTTATTGTAACTATCTTCCTTTTTCTATTGATGAACGCTATCTTTATGTAATTTGAAATGTTAACATATATGTATGTATTGATTGACTTTAATCTCTTGTAAAAGAGGAAATAAAGAATGTCTCTCTGTCTGTCTGTCTGACTAGGAGACTTTCCATTGAGACAAAGAAAACACGCAGCCTACTTTATCAACAAGTCGCGAGCATGAAACTACGCAATGATGAACAAGGGGAGAAAACTCTTACACACACACACACACACTTTAGAGTATTGGAATACGAGGCGTAGTAATTTGAACCAAATATAGTTCGGAACTTTCACTGATTAAAAACGCCACTGTTAAAGATCTTTTTTTGTCTTATACAGATATATTTTTTTACCATATTATAGCATTGATCATATCATGAAATAATGAACACATTATTTAAAGATCTTTCGCGTAAGGAGATAAAGTGTTGTGTTTTTTTTGTGAAGAAATTATTCTGTCCAAAAAGCATAGTAATCTGAGATTGATGTAGTTTATGATGCTCACTGATAAGAACTCGCTTTTTCGTAAAATTTTAACATTTGTTCTTTGATTTATTGATCGTTTTCATATGTATTTCATCCTTTTATAGCATTAATCATACCATGAAATAATCAACACAGCATTTAAAGATCTTCCGCGGAAGAAGAATGTCTGTTGTTTGGTTTGGATTTGCCCAGGCTTGGCAAGGACCGCAATGAATGCTGTACACAGCATCCAAAAATAACTAGTTTTTTGATCATAGTAATACACTTTGTGATTAACAAGCAGCTAAACAAACAGATTTTATTCCAAAACTTTCAACATTTAGCATTAGTATGTACAAAGTACACGTTAAGAACTAAAATCTTGACATTACTTTTGAATGAAGTAGACGATGACCACTAAAAGTGATATCGTGGTAACAAATCGTTTACTTACCACTAGGTCCTATGACAGCCAATATATTCCCGCTGGTCGCCACACCTGACACATGCTTCAGTATTTCTTTAGGTTGATTAACACATAAATCAGTGAAGACCAGGGTAGATATTCTAGACTCCGTCATAATCAGTGTGATAGTGTAGCTATATTGATGTTACTGCTGTCCTGACTCCGTTAGCAAGTTAAACGAATACAGCCCGTTCACCTATACAGGCCTCGTTCACCATTTTCCCACCCCTTTCCTTGGCCTCATTCTTCCTTATCAGGACAGGTGTCGTGTTTACCTGTGCGTATCCCTGTAACTAAATTTGCAAAATCGCAATCGTCTGACGGAGCCAGTGTTCATTTTCACAATGGAATACTGTCTGTGACGAAGTTGACCTATATTAATGTGTTTTAGAAGAATTCGTATGGGACTGGCACGGTTGGTGACACATACATCTTTAAAAGCTGTCTACCTGACGGAACGTGTTCACATACTACCACCACCTGTCAGCTAATAACACTCAACAGTGCTCAGAACCGACAACTACTCAACAGTGCTCAAAACCGACAACCACTCAACAGTGCTCAGAGCTGACAACTACTCAACAGTGCTCAGAACCGACAACTACTCAACAGTGCTCAGAACCGACGACTATTCAACAGTGCTCAGAGCTGACAACCACTCAACAGTGCTCAGAACCGACAACTACTAAACAGTGCTCAGAACCGACAACTACTCATCAGTGCTCAAAACCGACAACCACTCAACAGTGCTCAGAGCTGACAACTACTCAACAGTGCTCAGAACCGACAACTACTCAACAGTGCTCAGAACCGACGACTACTCAACAGTGCTCAGAGCTGACAACCACTCAACAGTGCTCAGAACCGACAACTACTAAACAGTGCTCAGAACCGACAACTACTCATCAGTGCTCAAAACCGACAACCACTCAACAGTGCTCAGAGCTGACAACTACTCAACAGTGCTCAGAACCGACAACTACTCAACAGTGCTCAGAACCGACGACTATTCAACAGTGCTCAGAGCTGACAACCACTCAACAGTGCTCAGAACCGACAACTACTAAACAGTGCTCAGAACCGACAACTACTCATCAGTGCTCAAAACCGACAACCACTCAACAGTACTCAGAGCTGACAACCACTCAACAGTGCTCAGAACCGACGACTACTCAACAGTGCTCAGAACCGACAACTACTAAACAGTGCTCAGAACCGACAACCACTCAACAGTGCTCAGAACCGACAACTACTCAACAGTGCTCAGAGCTGACAACCACTCAACAGTGCTCAGAACCGACAACTACTCAACAGTGCTCAGAGCTGACAACCACTCAACAGTGCTCAGAACCGACAACTACTCAACAGTGCTCAGAGCTGACAACCACTCAACAGTGCTCAGAACCGACAACTACTCAACAGTGCTCAGAGCTGACAACCACTCAACAGTGCTCAGAACCGACAACTACTCAACAGTGCTCAGAGCTGACAACCACTCAACAGTGCTCAGAACCGACAACTACTCAACAGTGCTCAGAGCTGACAACCACTCAACAGTGCTCAGAACCGACAACTACTCAACAGTGCTCAGAGCTGACAACCACTCAACAGTGCTCAGAACCGACAACTACTCAACAGTGCTCAGAGCTGACAACCACTCAACAGTGCTCAGAACCGACAACTACTCAACAGTGCTCAGAGCTGACAACCACTCAACAGTGCTCAGAACCGACAACTACTCAACAGTGCTCAGAGCTGACAACCACTCAACAGTGCTCAGAACCGACAACTACTCAACAGTGCTCAGAGCTGACAACCACTCAACAGTGCTCAGAACCGACAACTACTCAACAGTGCTCAGAGCTGACAACCACTCAACAGTGCTCAGAACCGACAACTACTCAACAGTGCTCAGAGCTGACAACCACTCAACAGTGCTCAGAACCGACAACCACTCAACAGTGCTCAGAGCTGACAACTACTCAACAGTGCTCAGAACCGACAACTACTCATCAGTGCTCAGAGCTGACAACTACTCAACAGTGCTCAGAACTGACAACTACTCAACAGTGCTCAGACATGACAACCAATGAACAGTGCTCAGAACCGACAACCACTCAACAGTGCTCAGAGCTGACAACTACTCAACAGTGCCCAGACCTGTCTACCACTCAACAGTGCTCAGAACTTGTGTTTTCTGATTTGTGTGTTCAAATAAAGTCTACTAAAATATTAAAAGATGTATCCGGATCAGCAAGAAGTGGAGCCATGTTGGCTGTGATGGGACCGAGCGGTAATTAACAAAACTATGAAATAGTAATAATATGTATTAGTATTGAAGTGCATTGATTGCAATAGGTAACTAATTAGCCGATCGATAGCGATCTCTTGCACTGTATATGCCCTACAGAGATAAAATAACAGTTTTGCTTCACTCCAAGCATTCTCTTTGTATTCCGTCAATTTCGTACATAGTAAAGTTATAACGCTTTATCAGCGATTCTGCCCGTCCGGTCGGCGTCAATATTTTACTTGAAACAACTTTTTCTCAATGAGCCTAGGGTGATGATATTTGGTCAGAAGCAAACTGGGATGAAGGGCTGCAGACCCTGGACCGTTTTTCTTTACCAAAATTGCGTTGCGTTTGCGTTGCGTTTGCGTTGCGTTTCCGTTGCGTTTGCGTTTCCGTTGCGTTTGCGTTCACCGTTTGATGTGCGTTTTAAATTTAGCGTTGAATGTGCGTTGAATATGCGTTTTCTTGTTATTTAAGAAAACGATCGATGGCTATTTACAGGTTATTTTAAGAATATGTGAGTGCTGAAATGTTTTTATATAAAAAAATAGTTATATGTATAACAAAGTTTGGAAATTAAAAAGAAAATAAATATACAAATAAAATAGATAAATACATGAAATAATCGGTTGGAAGTTTATCAATGACTTATATCTATATTTGAATATTTGGGCTGCGTCGTGTGCTGATTGATGGATGCATGTCTATACACGTACCTTAATTGGCCAGTGAAATTATAAGTAGAAAATAATTGAGTAATTAGTTATTTGTATATTCTAGATATTTAATGTTCAGACTTATATCATTCTGTTCATATGAATATTTGAATCGAATTCAACTAAATCTACAAATACTTCTATCACTGCACGCATGGGCAGTTTCGTAACGACACCAGGGTAGTCTGGATTGAAGAGAGGCTTATAATCAGTGCGTCTAAACGGCGATTTTCATTTTACAAAATATTTGTAGTTTTATCTCTATGTGTGTATGCTTTTTCATTAATTCTATTGTGTATATTGTGGGTTTTGTTTACGTCCAGGTCGAAGTATGCGAGTCGAGCGTAGGACTCGCATACTTCGACCTGGACGTAAACAAAACCCACAATATACACAATAGAATTAATGAAAAAGCATACACACATAGAGATAAAACTGCAAATATTTTATAAAATGAAAATCGCCGTTTAGACGCACTGATTATGCGAAAACAAGAACGTGATTATGGTTAAACCACGAATGGCAAAAATCGCCACAAATGAAAACAAATATCAATTAATAACTTAATTGAATAAATAAAACAAATGATTTAATAAATCAATAAACTGAAATAAAAATAATTGAATTGAATAAAGAAAACAAATTAATTAAATAAATCAATAAAATGAAACAAATAAATGAACATAATTACTTCAATAAAATAACTAAATAAATGCAGGGGGGTATAAATGCTAAAGACAGTTGACATTTGTAGTTGATGTAGAAGGATGTAGGTGGTTAAGGAAGTATAGGTGGTGTAGGAGGGTATCGGTGGTATATGAAGTAAATATGATGTAGGAGGGTATAGGTGGTATTGGAAGTAAATGTGATGTAGGAGGGTATAGATGGTATCGGAAGTATAGGTGATGTAGGAGGATACAGTTAATAAAGCTGATGTAGGAGGGTTTATGTGGTATAGGAAGTATAGATGACATAGGAGGGTATAGGTGGTATAGGAAGTTTAGATGGTATAGGAAGTATAGGTGTTGTAGGAGGGTATAGGTGGTATATGAAGTAAAGATGGTGTAGGAGGGTATAGGTGGTATAGGAAGTATAGGTGGTATAGTAAGAAAATTGGATGTTGGAAGATATAGATGGTATATAAAATACAGGTGAAGTAGGAAGATATAGTTAATAAAGCTGATGAAGGAGGGTATATGTGGTATAGGAAGTATAGGTGGTATAGGTGGTATATAAAATACAGGTGAAGTAGGAAGATATAGTTAATAAAGCTGATGTAGGAGGGTATATGTGGTATAGGAAGTATAGGTGGTATAGGAAGTATATATGATGTAGGACGGTATAGGTGGAAAATGAAGTTAAGGTGACGTAGGAAGGAAATAGAAAGTAAAGGTGAGGTAGGAAGATATAGGTGGTATAGGAAGTAAAGGTGATGTAGGAGGGTAGTGTTTGTATAGGAAGTAAAGGTGATGTCGGAAGTATAGTTGATGTAGGAGGCTATAGGTGGTATAGGAGGTCAAGGTGATGTAGGAGGGTATAGATAGTATATGAAGTAAGCATGATGTAGGATGTTAAAGGTGGTATAGGAAGTATAGGTGATGTAGGAGGGTATAGGTGGTATATGACGTATAGGTGATGTAGGAGGGTATATGTGGTACAGGAAGGTAAGGTTACGTAAGAAGGTACAGAAAGTGAAGGTGATGTAGGATAGTTGGTGGTTATAGGAAATTAGGTGATGTAGGGGGTATAGGTGGTGTAACAGAGTATAGGTGATGTAGGAGGATATAGTTAATAAAGCTGATGTAGGAGGGTATATACGGTATAGGAAGTATATGTGGTATAGGAAGCATAGATGACGTAGGAGTGTATATGCGGTATAGGAAGTATAGGTGGTATTGGAAGTATAGATGACGTAGGAGGGTATAGGTGGTATATGAAGTATAGGTGGTATAGAGAGCATAGATGACGAAGGAGGGTATAGGTGGTATGGGAAGTATAGGTGGTATAGGAAGTATATATGACGTAGGAGGGTATAGGTGGTATATGGAGTAAAGTAATGTAGGAGGATATGGGTGGAAAATGAAGTTAAAGTGACGTAGGAATGTATAGAAAGTATAGGTGAGGTAGGAGGGTATAGGTGGTATAGGAAGTAAAGGTAATTTAGGAAGGTATATGTGATATAGGAAGTTAAGGTGATGTCGGAAGTATAGTTGATGTAGGAGGCTTTAGGTGGTATAGGATGTCAAGGTGATGTAGGAGGGTATAGATAGTATATGAAGTAAACATGATGTAGGAGGGTAAAGGTGGTATAGGAAGTATAGGTGATGTAGGAGGGTATAGGTGGTATATGACGTATAGGTGTTGTTAGAGGGTATATGTGGTACAGGAAGTAAAGGTTACGTAAGAAGTATAGAAAGTGAAGGTGATGTAGGAGAGTTGGTGGCTATAGGAAGTAAAGGTGATGTAGGGGGTATAGGTGGTGTAACAGAGTATAGGTGATGCAGAAGGATATAGTTAATAAAGCTGATTCAGGAGGGTTTATGTGGTATAGGAAGTATATGTGGTATATGACGTATAGATGACGTAGGAGTGTATATGTGGTATAGGAAGTATAGATGACGTAGGAGGGTAAAGGTGGTATATGAAGTATAGGTGGTATATGAAGTATAGATGACGTAGGAGGTTATAGGTGGTATGGGAAGTATAGATGACGTAGGAGGGTATAGGTGGTGTAAGAGGGATTATATAATGTAGGAGGGTATTGGTGGTTATAGGAAGTATATGTGATGTAGGAGAGGATAGGTGGTATAGGAAGTAAAGGTGACGTAGAAAGTTATGGTGGTATATGAAGTTAAGGTGACGTATGAATGTATAGAAAGTATAGGTGATGTAGGAGGGTATAGGTGGTATAGGAAGTAAATGTGATGTAGGAGAGTATAGGTGGTATATGAAGTAAAGATGGTGTAGGATGGTAAAGGTGGTATAGGAAGTTATAGGTGGTTTAGGAACTATAGATGACGTAGGAGGGTATAGGTGGTGTAAGAGGGTTTATATAATGTAGGAGGGTATTGGTGGTTATAGGAAGTATATGTGATGTAGGAGAGTATAGGTGGTATAGGAAGTAAAGGTGACGTAGAAAGTTATGGTGGTATATGAAGTTAAGGTGACGTAGGAATGTATAGAAAGTAAAGGTGATGTAGGAGGGTATAGGTGGTATAGGAAGTAAATGTGATGTAGAAGAGTACAGGTGGTATATGAAGTAAAGATGATGTAGGATGGTAAAGGTGGTATAGGAAGTTATAGGTGGTTTAGGAACTATAGATGACGTAGGAGGGTTTAGGTGGTATAGGAAGTATAGATGACGTAGGAGGGTATAGGTGGTGTAAGAGGGTATGTATAGATGATGTAGTAGGGTATAGGTGGTATAGTAGGTAAAGGTGATGTAGGATGGTATAGGTTGTAAAGGAAGTAAATGGTATGTGATAGGTATAGGTGGTATTTGAAGTAAAGCCGATTTAGGAAGTATAGTCGATGTAGGAGGGTATAGATGGTTTAGGAAGCTATAGATTGTTTAAGAGGTAAAGATGATCTAGAAGAGTATAGGTGGTAAAGGACGTATAGGTGAAGTAGGAGGGTATAGATGGAATAGGAAGTAAATATGATGTAGGAAGGCAAAGGGATATAGGACGTATAGGTGATGTTGGAGGGTATAGGTGGTATATGACGTGTATAGGTGATGTAGGAGGGTATATGTGATATAGGAAGTAAAGGTGATATAGGAGGGTATAGGTGGTATATGACGTATAGGTGATGAAGGAACGTATAGGTGGTTCAGGAAGTACAGATGATGAAGAAGGGTATAGGTGGTATAGGACGTATAGTTACTGTAAGAGGGTATAGGTGATATAGGCAGTCCAGATGCTATAGGATGGTATAGGTGGTAAAGGAAGTAATGGTACATTAATACAGCAATTGAGCTTTCTTTATGAATTGATATACTACAGCTTATACATTTCTAGAAGTATTATATTTAATAACAATGTTTCAATCCGCTGAGGTATAGAAAAGAGATAGGGAATATCGAAGTATAATTCGAATTCGACATCGATAACTAGAGAAAAATATGGACCTGAGGAATATTAGCAGAGACGTTTTTGGTTGTTTAACTTGACGTAACCTGACGTGATTCAGTCCAAATGTATCCACAAAATTCGAAATCCGGAATGGTGATCCCGTCCCTGATTAGCAGTTATGTGGTAAGTCCCGGAAAGGCTTAGAAACAAG